AACCCACAAAAAGACCCCCACCCACACACACACCCTCTCTCTCTCTCTCTCTCTCTCTCTCTCTCTCTCTCTCTCTCACGGCTAAGTACAACCACACATGGCTTCGGCCACCCAATTCTCCCTGTAGAGAAAACCTCGTCTAGTTTAGCTACTGCTGCATCTTCTCTCAAATATCTAATTGGACTAACTTAGGCATCGAAAGTCCTTTGGCGAAAACCCCATGGGTGTGGTCTTTTACTCCTATTTGTTTTGCATGAATCGAGGAATAGAGAGAAGAAAGCTCGAAGGGTGAAGAATCTACACGCGAATATTCTCATGTGAGAAATTTGCATAAACAATCTACGACTTCCTTTTCTGAAAATTGTGAAGACCCATCTAGGGTTTTGCAAGAGTAGGCATTAAAGCTCGAGAATTTGAAGTTCCCACTTGGGTCTTTGGGAGAAAGTGAATATGGAGGCAAAGGGTTGGCTTTTAAGAGATCGATTTTCCACCGACCCACAAACCTAATCTTCATCTTAGGAGAATATTTGTTCTGTTTGTGTGGGTTTCTAGGAATATTTTTCCTGTTTGTGTGGGTTTGTGGGTAGGGAGTGGGTGTGTGTCGTGGGTGGTTGGGTGGCTCTTTGGGCAAGGAGGGTCGAGTAGAGAGAGAAAGATGGTGAAAGAGAAATGAAAAAAAAAAAAATTCCAAATATTTTTTCCTATTTGTTAATTTTTTTTTCCTTTCAAATATGGCATTTACGTGGCATACATTTCGGCAAAAGAGTGAGTCCCATTCGTGCTATATAAGCTTTTTTAACATAATTTTTAACATAGTTAACAGTGGAGGCAAAGTGAATTACTAAACCTTGATAAGAGGGGCATTCTGAGTTACTTCAACTTTCAAATAATAAAATAAAATTTGACAATAATTTCAGGCATTACAATAATTAAGCCTTCAAATTATCAATCAAATTTCACGAACGCAATAATTAGCCAAATGAGTAGCTTTAATAATCCCATCACTAGACTCCCTTCATTTCAAAACCACATCACTTTGAAGTCGCTTCATTTCAAAATCCCATCACTTTTTAACTCCCTTCCACTTCAAAGTGCCTCGTCCAAACACAACCTAAAAGTTTGAATTGTATACAATCCAGATTGTAAAAAATACAAACGCGGCAACAAAGGAAAACACAAGAAAGAAGAAGATGACAAAAGAAAAAAACAAAAAGGAAGCTACAAGAACCGAAACGTGTCACATGCTGGACCATTCTGATTTCCAATCAACAAAGAGAAACGGGCACACAAGCGAAAAGTCAGACATATTGACACAGAAAAGTCCAACTCTCATGGCTGCTGAGTCATGACAGAAGGAAATACTTGGCGAGTTCTGAATTAATTAATTGCAATTGCAACTTGCAGTCTCTGTACTCATTTATCTGTCACTTTCCTGATTTTCTATTGCCCATCCATTACACAATCTTTGTTGATTGAGTCGAGTTTCTTTTGATTTCTGATATGAAAAAATGGCACTTTCTTCCTCCTGTGGATCAGACGCGCTCTTAGCGATTCTCTCGCACTCAAGATCCGAAGCATGCAATCGAGTTCTTCTCAGGGACTTGGCCAACAGAGAACTCAATGCTTTCCTTTGGTTTTCCCTCATCGGGGTCACCGCTTTCCTGCTCAGCAGGGTTGTTAAGCTGCTCTGCTTATGGGCCAAGGCCAGGTCAATTCCTGGGCCTCCATGTCCCTCTTTCTACGGCCACTGCAAGCTCATTTCCCGCGAAAATTTTACTGGTCCGTGCAGTTTTCACTCTCTGATGCCTTTTCTGTTTCGGGTTTTATTTTTGTTTTTTGGGTTTTTGTAGTTGACTAGAGTACTTAGCTCCGTGGGGTTCAGTTCAACTTTTGCGTTTGGTTGCTGGCGTATGAATCATGAATGAAAGTGAAACTTGGCTTGTCCCTGTTCTTGGGGTTTCAGATTCTGGGTTTTCATCAAAATTTCAAATTGAAGTAAACACCTGTAATATATGTGAACTTAAAATTTGATTGGTTTTGTTAGGTTTATGAATTCCCAAAAAAATAAAGAAGTTGAGGAGTAGAAAATTAATTTTTTGTTTTGGTTAATTGTCAATTTGTGTTATGGATAGGGTGAGAACAATCTAACCCATTTCTCTACAATCTAACCCATTTCTCTTTTCTTTTGGCATTGATCAGAAGTGTTGTCGGATTTGCACAAGAAATATGGGTCTGTTGTCAAGTTGTGGTTGGGTCCTACAAAGCTTTTAGTGTCAATAAAGGATCCAACTCTCATCAAAGAGATGCTACTAAAGGCTGCTGATAAATTGCCTTTGACTGGGAGGGCTTTCCATTTGCCCTTTGGAAGGTCAAGTCTCTTTGCTTCCCCTTTTGAGAAGGTATGAACTCTGTTTTATTGCCCCTCTTTTACTGTGTACTTGTAATGATTAGAAAATTATTGTGTTATATCAATATTTTGTGTCTGCATTGAGATTGCAAAATGAAAAAAAAAAAAAATGTAATGTCAGAAAAAAAAAAAAAAGGTGCTTGTGTTTCTATTTCTCTACGTAGGCGCTATCAATCAGAATGTTAAATGTAGCATCAAGACTTGAAAACAATAAGGACTGTCTGAAGGCAGTAAACTTAAAAACCTTCCTTATCATCAGCTTATCGGCTGGTCTTCCTTGAAAAACTTGCAAAGGGAAAAGGGAAGGAAAAGAAAGGAATCAATAAACTGAATTTGTTGATCTAACTGAACCATTGATCTGTTGGTCTAACTGCTGGTTCTCCTTAGTGATAATCTGTATCCCAAGACAGAATATTAGTTCTCTTTATCTTACATACTTAAAAGGCTTTTAAATTTAATATGTTACTACCATGTTGCAATGGCGAAAGAGTTCTTCCCCATTTGGTCCCAAACATTAGTTGGTCTATATATCTAACATATATAATCAATCACCTTTGTGGTCACCACCCAGCACTGACAGTTCATAGTAATGTCATTGTGTCCAACAAACACAAGACTGTTTAATGAAAGGAGTGAGTTGATTGGGCAAACAGGAGTAACAAGTGTATTGAACACAGAGAGAGCAAGTAGAAGAAAGGGGAGGGAAAGAAGATATAGGCAGTAGAACGGGAATAACTAGAAAACTAGTGCAATAAATTGGCAAAACTCTGCAGCCTTATTAAAAAAAGGCTTGTACATAAGTAATTCCAAAATAACTAACTACCTGAAAAAAAAAAGGCAATAATTAATTTGTATGTTCTAATAATAAAAACAAATGATAACTAAATTCGTAAATTCTAATTACAATAAATAGAAAGATAAAATAAGCCTAATTTCTAGAGTACATATACCTTAATTAAAAACAAATTTTCTTCTGTCATCTATTAATAATGAGAAAATATAATAAAGTTGCAAAATAACTTTTGTAATGCTCTGGAATGAGGAAGTTTTAGTTAGATAGCTGCCAATATAATACTTATTGAAGTCCTTTAGAAAAAAAGTTATGAAGGTTTGGACTTGAAATTTGAATAAGGCTGGAGCTATGGTGGTAAGCCCCATGTCACATTGTCACTAACTGATAATATCTTCAGCCTGTTTGTATCAAAGTAAAAGTCTGTCATTCCCCAAACGTAATTTAGTGCATCATTTATTTGTTTTGTCATATGATGATGGCTCTGAGTCTTGTGTAATTGTTCTCAAGTGCACCTGGTAGCATTCGGGGGGGTTCCCTAAAGGGTATTTCTCATTCACAGGCGCAAAAGGGAAGGGAAGCATTATTCACAGAATTAATTGGAAAGTTTCCTGAGAGAGAAAATGTGGTTTGTACAAAAGTTGTGGACTGTATCTTGGAGAGGATACGGAATTTTATGGCTAAAGGCAGCGCTGACAGTAAAATGGTTTCTCAACATATGGCTTTTACCATGTTAGGAGCCACGCTCTTTGGAGATGAATTTTTGGCTTGGTCCAAGGCAACTGTATATGAGGAGCTCTTTATGATGATTGCTAAAGATGCTTGTCTCTGGAGTTCTTATAATGTTACGCCGTTTTGGAAGCATGGATTTTGGAAGTACCAGTCTCTATGCACAAAGTTGAAATGCTTAACGCAAGATATTATTCGACAGTGCAAAAAGAACTACATGCTGTTTGGTCATATGGATCATAATCTCCATGGTGAAACAGAAATTTTGGGAAAGGAGATTGCATCTGATGGACCATCTTGCTCTGAAGTTGTGATAGTAGATGCCTTATTCTTTCAGGAGCTTAATGGCCATCTTAATGCAACGGAAGAGGAACCATGCGGGAATCTTATGAGGATTATGTTCCATGGATGCCTTACCACAGCTCGTTTGATTAATAATATTTTGGTGAGCCTTGGTATGCATCCACAGATACAGGATAAGGTAGCTGGCTCCCTTGTCTTCTTTCTCCCTCTCTATCTCTCTCCAGTCCTTTCTAATGTTTAATGTTTCTTCGTGAAATTTATTCTGTGAAAGCTGACATTTGATCTAGTTGAGTGTAAACAAGGCATGTCTTTATGTACTTTTTTTTTTTTTCACACATTTTGCTTAACATCTTTGTTTTTATTATTTTTCTTTCTCCTTTTTGAACTCCCTGTTCACTTCCCCAAAAGAAATTATAGGAAACACCCAGCTCCTTGTTTGAAGAAACCCTCCGTTTGCCCTATTAGGGACGTTGCAGAAAATAATGAAAAAAGTGATAATAATAATATTAATAGTAATAATAATGATAAATAATGATATAAATTTGACTACTAGTAATGATAATTAATTATTATTATAATTATTTCATATAGCAATTAGCTTTGTTTCTGTGTTATTGCATACCATAACATTCTTAACCTATATATTTCCTTGATGCAGTATTAGTTTGAGCAACTATACAAAGAAACACTGTTATCCTAGTGGAAATGAAAATTAGGAAGATACATAAACCAGCATTTTGAAAATTTATATGGCTATCATTAGGTTAAGTGACTGGCTTATCCAAACTGAGTCTAATATATGGGTGCACTGGGCCCACCATCAAAGTTATATAGTATTTGGGTTGCAGAACTGGGAACAAATTGCTTTCTTTGACTTAACCATATCCAACAATACTAACCTATATCATGTAAGGTTCCGATCACCCATGCGACATCAAATTTATAAATGTCTTTTCTTGTTTCTTTGACAAAATGTTTTTTGATCCCATATTTGTGTATGAGTTTCTAAATATATTTTTAATCAGTGTTTCAATTAAAAGGGATATGGATTTGCAGTAACCTGATTGAGTCTAATACTGCTGCTTTTGGTTGCTTGTTATAAAATTGATGATTATATCTTTCTACATTAAGCTGTTATGATCCTAAATCTTTTTTTGTTTGTATCTAAAGATCTACTCAGAGATAACCATGGCACGAAATGGTTCAATTAAAAAAGACCAACTGAATGTTGATAAGATGCTCTTATTATTGGCAACTGTTTACGAATCTGCTCGTCTTGTGTCAGCTGGATCTTTGCTACAGAGATGTTCTCTCAAACACGGTAACACTTCTCACCATTTTGTTCTTAAATTTCTGTATGAAAATATCTGTCTCTCTACCTCTGTGTTTTAGTGTTTTGTGTAAGGGGGTCTAATGGCAGTTTCTTAGTGATGCCAAAAAATCTAAATATGTTCAGATCTAGAGCCGTGAGATTAATTTACTGGATGAAATTCAAACCCTTTTTTGATAAAATAAAACATGAAGTCGAATAACTGTTCAATAACAAGAATTAATGACCCGGGAAAACCAAAACCAGGAAGACAGATCCATATGAAGACATTTTCAGAACAACTTTAGGTTTTCTAATTAATATCATTCAACAACTAACCTGTGCTCAATTAACCAAACATGGCTGTTAATTGAGGCAATGAACTCATCTTCTCAAATCTGTTCATCATGAGGTTCAAACACTAGACTGGACACGAGGTTGAAATATATTTTCAAATAGTTCAAAAAGAAAGAATTCATACAAGGAACTTTGAGGGTGAAGCTAATGAAAATGATGCAGGGCAGTAGAAATAAGCTGCTGTCCAGCAACTAAACTATGCCAAACCACGGTAAAAATGGAATCCATGCGATCAAAAACACAGAGAATAGAGGGATAAAGCACTAGAATAAAAGTTGGAAAGATGATAATAGAGATGTAGACAGAGACCCAAGATAAACGCTATATTCTGTTATTTCTTAATAAAGTTTATAAAAGACCCTTATTACAACTCTTAATGAGGCTTACATAGCCATCAAACCCTAACATAATAAAGGGAATTAAACCAAATCCTAATTGGAATAGGAAAACTATAATATCAAAATAACTAATAATTTAAAGTAATTAGAACCCTAGCCTAATTGGCCAGCGGGCCCACTTAGACCTGGAAGGCATTAGATACTCCTGCATCAGAAAAACATGTGATATATATAATATAGAACGCAGAAGCATGAAGGTCCAAATGTCAGGATTTGTCAGAAGTAAAGTCATAAATATGGGTGTACTTTTGGAAAAGAAAGAAAGGATGAGTGGAGGGGTGGGACTCAGCTAAATATAAGCTATTTTAGTTTTGGAGGTTTAGTAGTTGTATTTTGTACAGTTCATGTAGGAAATCTTGATGATGGTGGTTTGACACTTACTGATGTCTTTCTTTATTAGTATCCATTTTTCCAAAAAGTAGTAAAACCCTATAAAAATAAGTTGAAATTTGAGTTCAAGAAGTATACATCCGAAAGTTGTGATAAGTAAATAGATGCTTTATCATATGAAATAGATTGATTCATGTGGTTGCAACACGTATAAGCCATGACATGCATATGTACAATTGCACCGGGGAATTTCTGCTTTTTGTCTGGATTGATTTTCAATTTTAACAACAGAGGTTATAAGTAAGAGCTTTTAGGATATTGAAGTGACTACTCTGAGGTGGTTGAGCTATCTATAACCAGGTCTTAGAGTTTTGGTGTTTTTACTTATATGGGAATATGAATATGGTGCACTTTTGATATCAGGCAAAGCAAAATGAAAAATGATAAGAGATTTCTAAGGTTTATGTCAAAATATGATGCTGTGAGTACATGTTGGGCGAGTTTTATATTTCACAATATCAAGGAAGAAAAGTACATTTGATGAACCATTGGTTGAAGATGCATTTATTTTGTCAACCTTTTCTAAACTGCAGAGAGTTTTTGTTTTTGTTTTTTGTTGTTGGGGTGGGGGAGGTAAACTGATTTGGGTTTATCAATCAGATTGGTTGAAATTAAGGTTCTCAAGGTAGTTAGACTTGTGGATATGATAGCATCTTGTGAATGCTGTTCAGCTAACTGCTCCTTTAGATTCCTTACTGATCTTCAGCTCCAGCTTACCTAATTGTGATGCTAAATTGAATGGTGTTGCTTATTTAATTCCACCTGTTCTATGATGGTTGTCATTTATTTAATACTTGGCATTAATTTTTTTTTTTCTTCCTTTCCCTTTGAAGACTTGAATCTTAAAAGTGGTGTAACCATACCAGCTGGAGCAGGACTGGTTGTGCCTATACAGCTGGTACAGATGGATGATTGCAGTTGGGGAAGTGATGATAATGAATTTAATCCATATCGCTTTTTATCCAAGCCTGGAAAGGGATCTGATATTATGCTCAATAAATCAGTTTCAGGTTTCATTCCTACCTATTTCCAATTTCAACTTTGTTTATATAGCTTTCAAGTTCCCTATAGCGCATTTTCTCTGAAAATGTGCAGTGCAGTTATAGCAGTTTTAACTAATCATAAACTGTTGTTAATCACTGTGCCTCTTTCCATTTCTTTGCAAATCCTGCAGTAGTATACGACTTTTAGTGCATTGTATCAGATGCCATTTCCAATCCTTTATGCCATCTTGAATTGCACGGGATGTACATTTTGTAAGAGAATAATAAAATGTTTGCTAAATATTCTTGTAAAGAAGCTGGTTTTTCCGTTTGAGTTTAGTTCTCGCTTGGTTTTAAATTGACACTTACTTGTCCAAAATGCATGATAAGGAGTTTGAATTTGTATAGTAATTTAATAACCCTGGCAGGAAATTAGTTTAAAATAGCATCACACCATCAAGGTTCACATGCTCCGTCTGTAACAAAGTTTGGTTTATAACGGTTCTCAGGGGCTGCTGAAAACATTGTGAATCCTGGACAGAGCTCCTTCAGTTTGAATGATCCAAATGCAAATACGGCCTTTCTTCCCTTTGGCTATGGCTTACGTGCTTGTATTGGCGAGAAATTTGTACTCAATGGAGTGGCCACATTATTTGCATCATTGCTTGAACACTATGAGGTTTGTGAGCTACTTAGTTTTTTTGTTTTTGTTTTCTTTTCTTGGCTACACGATTACATTGTTTGAAATCTCTCTGGCTTTCTGTCTCTGTCTCTCTCTTTAACTTTCATCATAAACAATCATTGTTTTTGAAACTTTCTATGAAACATAAATTTCTACTTTCAATTTTAACTTTGGCATGATGAACTTAGATTTGGTTATATTAAATTCCTGTGTCTTTGCACTGATTTTGAATACCCAACGTCCAATGATAGTTTATTTTATGGAAATTTGCACTATGCATGGGGCAGTGTAATCTCTATATCTTCACTTAATCCCGAAGCTGAGTTCTTGAGGTTGTTGGCTTTGCATTTTTCCTCTCCATTGAGTGAGGCCTAATACAGATCTGAGTTCAGAGATCTTTATATCTTTATTAATCATTGTTACATTTTTATAAACCAAAAAAAAAAAGAAAAAAAAAGATATATACAGTTGAATTTCATTGAGTACTAGATAATTAAGGAGTACAAGTATCTGTCAACAGCACGTACTGTACTCATCCTGAATGCTAAAATCCTATCTTGCGCCTAAGAATTTCCCATTGAATTGGTTTAAATAGAAAACAATTGATTAAATAAAAAGTATGCTTAAGTTTCATCTACTCCCACTAAATGCAAATACAATCCTAGGGTTGCGATCAATCTATACCCTAGGAGAGAAAGGGTAAACCTGCCGATCTAAGGGCTTGAATTTAGTGGAAATTTTGATTTTAGTGGACAGTGGACCCAGATACTTGCCATTAATGTTAAACATTGGCATAAGTTCCAGTGTATTTTTGAATGGGACCTACGTGCTCATATCTGGGAGGGAGGGATTTTGTAATATGTGAATCCTTGCTGAGGAATGTTCGTATTAAATTGATTCATTACAAATTGTCAGATCATTTGTTAGTGGGTTTCTGCAGAAATTAGTTTCTTCTTGTCTGTTAGGTTGTGAATCATACTCCATTTTATGATTTCATTGAAAGTGCTGCACTATTACTTTTAAGTCTTGTTTTTGACAACAACATTAGTAAGCCCTCCTGTATTACAGTTTGGTACCAACTGACTCGACTAACTGGATTTCCTATCTGGGAGGCACACCACGAGATGGATTTGTGCCACCCTACAAATTAACTGTTAATTGCTTAACTAAATGTTGGCTGTGGTTAAATTGAAAACAAGAAGCTCCTGCATGCTTAAAGTGGATATGAAACAAAAATTTATCCAACAAGAGAAGGAATTGTGATGTTAACTTATGAAATTTAAAAACAAAAACTTTTGAAGTTCAGTTACTTATTTCTTGCCATTATTTATTTGTGGGTGGTGAATTTCCCACTCCCGTTTTATCCACCTACACTCCCTTTTGTTTTTTAATACTTTGTACTATAAGATAAAAGGGAGTGTAAGTGAACAAAAGGGAGTGAGAACATACAATTTTAAAAAAATGGAATGTGAGTGGATAAAAAGGGAGTGGAAAAATCAGTACCCTTATTTGTTTGTCCTTAGATGTGTATTTCATTGACCAAGAAACGGTATATATATATTTACATATCTTGCAAGTCTAATGTTTAAATGTTACTATATTGCAGATAAAGCTCCAGGGAGCAGCTGAGGGTAACCCCAAACCGAACAACTGTGTGTTTGAGCATCTTTCTAGTTCACAGATAGTTTTTGTAAAAAGGAACAGCTGAAGAATGTGGAAGCAGAAAGTCTCTGTTGTGGATGCAATGTTTTGTTTTACTGTCATATGTTTTTGCATTCCATGATCACTTACAGGAAGACATCTCCAGTCATCTTTTTCCCCAACTCGGGTTTGACGAGGGAATATTTTTTCCGTTGATTATCTATTAGAGTAATAGCAGAGGATGTTACACGAGTGAGTTTTACGGCTCATGTTTTTTTCCTCTGTTTTTAAGCCTAGGTGCTGGTTTTATAGCCATGACTGGCATAAGATAGTTTTTGAAGCACTCTCGGGCTATTGTTGAAGCGGAGCCTTGTGGTTTTCCCATCTAGAATTTGCAACTTCATCTTTTATTTTTCCTCTCCCAAAAGGAAGTTCCATCTTGTAATCTTAATTAGCTTAGAGTGATGCACCCCATATGTATTTTATATTTGTAGGGTGCATTGTTAATAGAAGTTATGTAATAAATAAAAAATTGCCTTCCACTGGTTGTTTATGGTACTCTGGGTTGTTTTGAGATTTGGTGAAACTTGAGTGAAACGATGAGTTTCAGGTAGAGTTTAGCCAGCTTGCTTGTGGTGATTGGTCACAGGTGGGTTATTTTTCCGTTACAATTACAATGTTCTAGCATTTTTCAGCTCCATTCTATGAATGATCTCCATGGAGGGAAGCAGATATGGGAGATTAATGTACCAGAGAAATTAAAGTGGGTGTCCGATTCGGCTCGGTTTTAAATTCAAACTGAAACTGAAACTGGTACTGTTAATTTGGTTCGATCTGGTCTGATTTTCATACAAAACTGATATTATAACTGAACCAAACCAGGCTGGTTACGGTTTGGTTTGGTTCATGGTTCTCCACGGTGTGGGCCTGCTGTAAAGCCCATTTAAGTTTTTGGGGTTTTTAAGCTTCAAAACAACCTGAATTTTTAAACTGTTGGACTTACATTACAATTGGCCCAATTTTGATATTGAATACGTCAAAGCGTTCCTCGGCAAAAATAAAAAAGAATTCCCAAATGATTCTAATACTGAAAATGAAACCAAATACTGAAACTTTTAACAAAACAAATACATAAAAAGCAAAATAAATTACAACAAAGTTTAAAATTATAGCTCTATTATGTCATCCATTATCAAGTTGCCAAAAATCTGAGCAGCTAATCTCATGTCACAAGGTTTACCAAGCTTTTCTCTAATTAGATGAACTGGATTCATTCAAACAAAACCTTAAGACCCTCTTTGGTTCACAGAACGAATTTGAGAGAAAATCATTTCTCATGAGATGGGAAATAGAAGATTCATTTTCTATGTTTGGTAATGTTAGGAAAGTAACTGGGAGATATTATTTTATTTCATTTCTTATGTTTGTGTTGAGTAGGAATGGAAAACAAGTTTGTATAAATTTTCAAGGGATCTGATTTCCCCACTCCCTTTTTCTCCACTTACACTCCCTTTTGCTTTTTAATATTTTTTTAATCAATTTTGTTCTTTCTCTTTCCTATTCTATCCTTACTCTACATTATTTTCTTTTTTACTTCACTTAAGTAAGGGATCTGATATTATTTCTTTTTCTTTACACTTAATTTTTTAACTTACGCTCCATTTTCAGTATGAAAGGGAAAAAAAAAACATAATTTCTTACTTGATTAAAGGAAAAAAAATACTGAAAATATAGTGCAAGTTGGAAAATTAAGTGTAAAGAAAAAGAACTAATATAAAAGTGAAGTAAAAAGAAATCAACGTAGGGTAAGGATAGAATAGGAAAAAGAAAGAACAAATTTGATTAAAAAGTATTAAAAAGCAAAAGGGAGTGTAAGTGGAGATAAATGGAGTGGGGAAATCACATCCCATTTTCAATTATACCCATATTAAATCAAATAAAAAAAGAATGCATTTAATGATATATTGTAATTCTAAATTGTTAATGGGGACAAAATAGTCATGAAAAATATTTATTTAATATTGGCTCATTTTCCCAAACTTTCCCATGAGGAGGGAAATCAAAATTTAAATTGGGAGGATGGCTTCACTTTCCCCCTATTTTCCCATGGGACAGGCAGTGATTTCCCATGTCTGGACTTACCAAACATGGGAAAGCAATTGATTTCTCATCCCCAAGTCTCCTTTCCCATGAATAGAACAGGGCCTAAGTGAACAGAAAATTGTTTTCCTGTTTTATAATACCATGGACAGATAAAAAACATACCTGAAGACTGAAACCACACTCAAACAACCATGTAGTCTCCTTGGAAAGTAGCATTAGCTGAATTGTTTCTTGTGCATGGCCTCCTAAGATCTAGAAAATATAAACATGAAAACAAACCAGTTTAGTGCAGTCTAGTTTTTAGAGGTGGAGAACCAGAACTGGAACGAGACACCATCAGTCCGGTTTAGTTTTTTGTACTGGGCTTGACTTTTTGATCAACACCAATCTTTTTTTTTTTTTTTTGATTTTTCTCAATCCGATTTAGTTCGGTTATCATATTCTTCGGTCTATATGCCCATCCCTAGAAATTACATAGTGGCACTAGAATACCATGTGGCACTTGCCAGGTATCAAGACACGTGGCATTATAAAGTTCATTACCACAATGACCAGCCTACTCGGTCACTCTATTACCACAATGACCAACCTACTCGATCACTTTTGCTAAAGTCCATAAAAATAAAAAGGGTGATTTGGCACTCCAAAATTTGCTCTTTGCACTCCACATTCTCTTTACATCATACTGAATTTTAGTAAAATTTAAAATTACTTACTGCACCCCATTTTTCTTCATAAATTCCCCTCATGAACCCCATTGCTTAACTTACTGTGTAAATCCCACCGAAATCGTTACCTTGTTTCAGTGGTAGTCCACCAAATTTGTTTCTGTTTTTCAGTGCTAGTCTACTGAATTCGTTTCGTGTTTCAGTGAACATCTACCAAATTCATTACTGAGTTTATACTTAATTATTTTTTAGATATGAAGAGGACTCGCAGGGTACTACTGAGGCTTCATCATCTCGACCTGATAGACAGCGTCCCATAGCCTCAACAAGGAGACATAGAGTGGCAAGGTTAGCCCTTCAAGAAGATCAGCCCCAACATGGTCCCCCAGACCACTTTGAGGATACTACAGAGGTTGAAGATGTAGCTGCTACTCATGATAGTAATGTTGACTCGAAGGTTGAAAATGTAGCTACTACTCATGATAGTAATGTTGAGGTAGATGCCGAGCCTACTGAACCATCTCGAGTAGGTCCCATTGATCCATCTTTACTTACGAGTATGTATATATATATTGTATTTGACTAGGAACGTGAGCCCCTAAGGTGCATGTCAAAGACATCTATCCTTCATGAGTGGAATTGGTGGGCTTATCTAAAAAATGGTCCCGAACAAGCATAATGTCCTCTTGAATACTTAACGGCATAACAACCTTCGGCCAATAAGACACTCGTGAAGCTAAAAACAGAGGAGTTCCCTCACTACGAACGGTGTCCTGTGGATGGAGGAGTTCCTAAACTAAGTAAAGTTTCTCGCTTGTTAGGTTCCAAACCTCACATTTATATGGGCTCGTCTCCTATCCTTGCCGTTGTTGTCCTCTCTACTATCTAGCCACAGGGCGACGAAGGGTAGGATGCCCACGTTTGGCTTTTGTTCTCCAAACTTGGTATATTCAAAAGGTACATTCAAAGGTCTGGATTAGAGTAACTTATTAGGTCTTCTTATCGGAATGCAGATAAGATTGTTGTATTTACCTTCGTTGAGAGGTGGCATCCCGAAACGAACATCTTTAACATGCCTTTTGGTGAGATGACCATCACATTGGATGATGTGTCATCTATTTTAGGGGCGTCACCTTGTTTTTGTTCCTTCAATGGGAGTAATATCAAAATAGCTTGTATTAAATTTGTGGTCGACAATAAGTTATTGAAAAAATAAATATATTTCGGTTCGTTGCCACTAAATTGTAGGCAAAAATTTGGTAATAAACCACTAAACATCATTCCATGTTACGATGGATCTCCATCGTATCTTAAGTTAATAGCCAGTCAAACACAACCGAAATAGGTGCAATGTTACGGTGGCATCCCGCCGAATTTACCTACTATGTTCGGTACTAGTGTGTTGAACACAATCAATGACCATCACTAAATCCTAAACTTGAAAAATGCCAAAAAATACACTCATCCCTCATTCGAAGCCTCTTTAACTTTAGTCTCACCCTTCACGAATAAATACAAGATATTTTTTTTACTAATATAAGCGTATAATCCTCGTTAGGGTCGTAGGAATATGATAATTCGAGAAAAAAGTCTAACTAGGGTTGCAGGAACATATGTGGGGTGCAGTGAACAAATTTAATTTTTGTTTTAAACGTTTTCTGTCCTTAATAGTAATTATGTACAAGGATAAAATAGATTATTCATGTTTAAAATTAGTATGGGGTGTAAAGAGCAAATAATGGGATGCCAATAAAATCACCAAAAAATAAAAGCTTTATTTACCAAAAATCTTCTAACAGAGGCCAACTTTTCTTTTTATAGTTGAATCTCCTCAAAAATGGACAACATCTTTATGAATTATGATGAGCCTAACCACAAAAGCATTTGTTTATTTTTCTTGGGTTTGTTTGGCATAAATTCCACGCGCCAGCCCAACTAAATTTTGGCCCATGTTAGAAGCAGGTGATTGGGCTTTGTTTTATTAAAAGAGAAATAAGCCCAGATGGGTTTTTAGAGGCCCAGACTATTATGAACCGATTGCAAAGGATAAATCTACAGATTAAAGATTAATTGCCATTAATGGTGATTTAATATAGGAAAATTAGTTTTAATTGGTTTAAACGCTAAAGCCCAGCTTCTAATCTCTCCACATGGCTCAGAATTTGATCATCACCGTTGATCACATTTTCAAAAATCAAGTCAGCTGATTTCTGGGAACATCTTTCTCTCAAGGAGGTCCACGTGACTCTAAAGTCAAAATTTCAACAAGCAAGAAGACGTGATGGGGAGTTGGTAGAAGGTTTAATCGGAAAACCACTCCCCATAACCATTTAATGCCATAAAATAAGGCCAAGGCTTCTTTACTATGCTCGTGATTGCATCAGGGCAAGTGGGGTTTTACAAGAGATAAACAAGAGATAGAAGAGTTGGTTGTCAGAAGATCAAAACTGATCATCAAGAAGACTGACTCTTGATGGGGTCTTTCTTGTCAACCTAACCACCACCCTTTTTTGACGCTAAAAGCAGAGGATCATCTCAACCATGTGTGCTCCAGATATTAAGGAATAACCACTCATGCGATTTCTCTATAAATATGAGAGAATGTGGATAGGAGAGAGAGCCAAAAAATTCAATCAAGACAAAACTCTCAAGTTATATTGACAAACTCAAACAAGATCATACGATCTCAGAAGACCTTCAGACTCTAAGGCAATCAGACCATCTGGTTTGAAAATCCATTCAGCTCCTAGACAAAACAGATAGAACTAATGCCTCTGACTCTAACTC